CAAGTTTGGATGTTTACATTTTTGCTTCACTTAAAATTTCCTGTAACGGAACAGAACCATGGAGATGGAGATCACATGGAGGGTTAGCAACAGGGCAGTGGGAGGAGGGGAGAGGGGGAAAAGGTACAGAGAGTAAGTAGCATGGATGGTAGGTAGAAAATAGACAGGGGGAAGGCAAGAATAGTGTGGGAAATGTAGAAGCTAAAGAACTTATGACACTTGGACGTGAACTAAAGCGGGGAATGTGGGTGGGAGGGGGTGTGCAGGGTGGAGGGGAGTGAAGGGGGGTAATGGGACAACTGTAATGGCATAATCAGTAAAATATATTAAAAAAAGAAAAAATGTCCTGTAACAAACAGGGATAGATTTTAGGGGTCATATTGGTACCCCTTGTCATGTCTGAGAGCAGAGAATACGTTAATCTGGCGGCGCTGTGTTGGTCTACCCAGTTTCCCGCACCCCTACACTTAGGCAAGACATAGTTACTTATACTACTTCTTCTTCCTCTTCTGCCCCTCTTCCTCTTTCTCCTTCTTCTTCTATTTACTTTTACAATGAAATCTCTCCTCCTCTGGCCCATTGTTTCTTGTGGCCTAATAAAGTCAAAATGCCTTCCAGTATTAAATCAATGTATTCGTCTCAGTCATTATGCTGGTGGGCTGCCTTGAACTTGAAATTGAAACTCTCAAGAGCATTGCTTTTGCATTTGCTCTGTCATGGACATGAATATAAAGTGTAAGCAGAAACTTCTGACACCATCTTTTCTGGAATATTCTAGAATTTACACACCTAATTTACGTTCTTCAAAGCAATCACCAAGATGGGTAACACAAATATCTCTATAATAAAATCACCGTTACAAATGTTTGGTGACTCCTCTTTTGGAATTACAGGGTGACAGGATATCATGGAAAGAGCATGAGGTTTTGAGATGATTTCAATCACGACTCTGACACATATTAAGTTGTGCAATATTGTGCAAGTTCCTCTCTCTGAACTTTCACTTCCCTATGTATAAAATGCGGTTCAGCCTGGGCTGATGTGGCTCAGTGGACTGCATGATGGCCTCCGACCCCAAAGGTCACCGATTGGATTCCCAGTCAGGGCATGTGCCTGGGTTGCGGGGCCAGGTCTGCAGTTGAGCACGCAAGACGCAACCCCACATGGATGCTTCTGTCCCTCTCTCCCTTCCTTCTCTTCTCTCCAAAAAGAAATAAAGTCTTTAAAAAAATATTTTAAAAATAAATAAAATGAACTCGGGTTAAGATTATTGGTCTTGCTGAGTTTTGTAGTGAGCCAGTAATGCCCATGTTCATGCTGCCGTATTAGAGCCAGTTTATCAATTGTACAAGAAAGTCCTTTTCCTGTACACTCTCCCTCCGTTAATTTCCCCGTTTTCCCCTCCCTCGTTTGTGTTCTCGTCAAACTCAACTATATTCTTTCTTTAAAAATTAGGATTAGGGGGGAACTTTTCTGACTTGATGTATACCCAAAGCTACAGCAAATAAAATAATCAACGGCAAAATGTATAGATGCCATCCTATTAACCAAAAAACATTTTCTATCATCACTATAATTTAATATAGTATTGGAGGTTGCGACCAATATTATGTGAGACCAACATAAAGGAAAGGCACAGGAAATATATTCAATATGAATTTTTAAAAGATATAGTTAAAATATATATATATATATATATATATATATATATATATATATAAATTCCATTACTCATAGAGAATATAATCATTGACAGATAAACCTAAAAGACTATACAGTCACATTTTAAAACTAATAGGACAGTTCAGAAAGCTTTCTATTATTATTAATGATAACACAAAGAATTCAAAACTTGTGGTACCCTTGCTGTACCTAACTAGAAAATTAAATAGGGAAAAAAAATAAGATATCCCTTAAAGTAATAAAATCTAAACGTTTCTAGAAAACAACACAGAAAACACAAAATTGTACAGAGAATACTTAAAAACTATTTATTTATTTTTTTAAAGATTTTATTCATTTATTTTTAGAGAGAGAGGGGGAGGAAAGGAGAAAGAGAGGGAGAGAAACATCCATGTGTGGTTGCCTCTCGCACACCTCCCACTGGGGACCTGTTCCACAACCCAGGCATGTGCCCTGACTGGGAATCGAACCTGCAACCTTTTGATTTGCAGGCCCGCACTCAGTCCACTGAGCTACACCAGCCAGGGTAAAAAACTATTTAAAATATAAGGGAAGTTTTGACTACATGAAGATATAGCATGTCCGTACTGGGGGTGATTTAACATGATAATTGTAGCAATCCACCTCACATTAACTTGCGAATTCAGTGCAGTGCAAAATTAAATTCCAGCAAGACTTTGGGGGAAAGCTGATAGACTGAATTATATTTAGATATTGGAAGATATATCCATATCTAAATTATGAAAGATAGTTCATGAATTGCTTATCACTTTAAAAATCAACTTGGGAGAGAAGGGCAAAGACAAAGGATTCACCCTATTAGATATTAGGATACTTTCTTTTTGTTATCTTTATGTTAGTTTCTTCTTTTTTTGTTCAATTACAGCTGTCTGCATTTTCTCCCATATTAAGGTATACTTTAAAGCCATAGTAATAAAATGGCCCAGTACCCTTGTAGGAACTAATCAGTAAACAAAGGAACAGAAAAAGGTTCAGCAATGCACACATGATATATTACAGAATTCTGCACTTGAAACCTATATAATTTTATCAACCAATGTCACCCCCATAAATTTAATTGAAAAAGAAAAATAAATAAAACAATGGTGCCATTGGAAAAAAAAAAAGAAAAGAGCTCTGGACTACATTCAAGTATATATAGTAATTTGCCTTATGGTAAAGATGCCCCTCAAAGCACCAGAAAAGGAGCAGATTTTGTTTAGGTTTTAGTGAACTACGTTGCTAATTGAAGACTAAAGCTGGATCCCTACCTTAGACAATATACAAAGGTGGGATTTAGATGGATTAGACATAAATGGAAGAGGTAGAGTTAAAGGTACAGCACTTAATGTAATCTAAAGAGGGACATGATTTTTTATTATTTATTTATTTATTTATTTATTTTTAGAGAGGGAAGGGAGGGAGAAAGAGAGAGAGAGAGAGAGAGAGAGAGAGAGAGAGAAACATCAATGTGCGGTTGCTGGGGGCTGTGGCCTGCAACCCAGGCATGTACTCTGACTGGGAATCAAACCCGCGATGCTTTGGTTCACAGCCCACGCTCAATCCACTGAGCTATGCCAGACAGGGCAAATTATTTTTAAAAATATATATATTTATTTTTTTTATTTTTAGAGAGGGGAAGGGAGGGGGAGAGAGAGAGAGAAACATCAATGTGTGGTTGCCCCTCGTGTGGCCCTCACTGGGGACCTGGCCTGCAACCCAGGCATGTGCCCTGACTGGGAATTGAACCTGTGACTCTGGTTCGCAGCCCGCACTCAATCCACTGAGCTATCCCAGTCAGGGCTAAAGAGGGAAATGATTTTTTTTTAAAAAAATAAGAATCCACATGCAAAATCATAAAGCAAAAAAAAAAAAGGCTTTTTGTCACATCGCAATGACAAATTTCCGGTCAACAAAGAATATTATAGACAATGTTAAGTGAAGGAAGATCTTTAAATCATTAAACCACCAAGGGATTAATGTACAAGAAATCCTATTGATAAATGGAAAAAGGATATACCTAAAGAGGTCACTGAAAGAAAACTATACATGGCTACCAAATATATGGCAAGACTCCTAATCACAAATATTCAGAAATATGTCAATCAAAGACGATGAGATGCCACTTACTACCACAAGAATTACAAACATTGGAAAAGCGGGTAGCGCCAAGGGTGACTGATGTTGTAAGCAGCAAGGAGCTTATTTCACTTATAAAAAGCTTTTTAAAGTCATGCTTTGTGATTCTATTGGTTCTAATACTGTGCTAATCATCATTGCACCCATCCAAAAAAGTCCTGTGTTATTAGGTATATATTGCTATAATGGGTGCTTGTTTTGTAATTCCTAGCTTTGCAAAATAGTGCTAGGCAATGGCGTATATTTGTGTGTGCCCATAACAACACATGTATACAAAGGAAAGACAACAACTCAATGCAGCTATGCTATTTCCTTTGTTCCTCTGTGACTAGCAGTGTTTTTGAGACAAAAGCTAGGAGATCTACACAATACTGTGCCAGTGGTGGCCTAGAGTTTAGGTGAAAAAAAGGGAATAACTTTTTATGGAACAGTGTACCAGGCAGCAAGCTGTGCACTTGACGTTGTCTTGTTGAATCTGCACCACATTATAAGGGAATAGGTATCATTCTCCCATTGTATGGATAAGAAAAGAGGTTCAGAGGGGTGAAATTGTTTGTCCAAAGCACAGGATTAGTTCTGACTGGTGTAGCTCAGTGGGTTGAGGGTTATCCCACCAATCAGAAGGTTGCCGGTTCGATTCCCAGTGAGGGCACATACCTGGGTTGCGGGCCAGGTCCCAAGTTAAGGTCGTGTGAGAAGCAACTGCTCATTGATGTTTCTCTCTCTCTCACTCTTTCTCCCTCTCTTCCCCTCTCTCTAAAAATAAATAAACAAAAATCTAAAAACAGAATAAAAGATAGAGGCAAGCTGTAAACTTTGTCAACCTTGTTGTTTTTTTCCCCCTATCATGGATGAGTCATTTAACTGGACTGAGCTCCACAGACCCCAAAGCGCATCTGCAATGGTGGAATTTCAGGTGTCAGCCCAAATACCAAGGGGGGTATTTTATTGTACAGGGGCGAGAGGAGTGTTGGGAAGTTTTGTTATGCCTCCGTATGCTAGCAATTTTTATTATGGGAGAAATAGCACTGGTCTTCATTGATATACATAGAGTTGCTTTAGAAGTGGATTTGTTTTGGAAGTTAACGTGGGGAGAATTTTGTTTCATCTTCTTGAAGGAGGGAGGAGATATTGACAGAGAAATTGAAACAAAATGGCTTTCTTTTTTTTCTTTGCAGCGAAGTCACATGGAAAGACCATTTCTTCCAAAATGAGCATCGGACGACGCGGGAAGAGGTATTCTTTGTAACGGGAACTCTGAAGTCTGGGGCTGACAAGATGGGCTTAGAGAACCCCTTGCCTCCTCAGCAGCTCTGCCTCATTTTCATTGCACTGTCTCTGCTGTCTTTGGCAGAGACATATGGATTCAGTAAATGTACACAGTATGAATTGGATATTCGCCATGTTTTCTGCATTCGGAAGAAGATCGTCAACTTGACAGAGGCCATTTCTGACATCCCGGGATACACTACTCACCTCAACCTCACACAAAACCAAATTCAAACCCTTCCTTCCTACGGCTTTACTAATCTGTCCGCTCTGGTGGACTTGCGACTGGAGTGGAACGCCATTTGGAAGATTGAGAAGAGGGCCTTTTGGGGACTTGAAAATCTGACCCTTCTGAACCTGATAGAAAATAATATTCGCAGTGTGAACGACTCCTTTGAGGGCCTGTCCAACTTGGAGACTTTGCTCCTGAGCCATAATCGAATCACCAACATTCACAAACATGCCTTTGCCCCTCTTTTCAACCTGAAACACTTAAGCTTGTCTAGAAACCATATTAGCAATTTTTCAAATGTTCTCGAAGCGGTGCAGCGTCTCCCGCGCCTGGAATACCTGGATCTCACCCTCAACAACATCAGCATCTTGGACCACAGCCCCAGGTTGTTGGCCTCCCTGACCCAGCTGAGCCTGCAGGGGAACAAACTAACAGAATTAAATTTCTCTGCTTTGTCACTGCCTAATGTGACCACTCTGGATGTCTCTCAGAATAACCTGGCAGACGTCCGGCATGTGGCTCTGGAAACTCTGCCCCAGCTGAGGAGCTTGAATCTCAGTGGGACATCCATGAGCCTGGAGATGCTTCCAGCCAAACACCTACAGAATCTAAGCGAAATAGACCTTAGTGACCAGGTGTTTCGAGGCAGCCACTTAATAAACGTCAACCGTGTGTGTCATTTCCTCAGAAGCCTGCCCATGTTAGAGGCTTTGGTCTTTAGGGAAAAGGCCACGGAGGCAGGGGACATAAAGCATCTCGCCAACTGTACCAGGCTTTTGTCCCTTGACCTGAGACAAAACTATAATCTGGTTCACCTCAATGACAGTGAGTTCAATGGCATGCCCAGCCTCCAAAGGCTGCAACTAGACAGGTGCCAACTTGCCTTTGTCACCAACCAGACCTGGAGTGGCCTCCAGAACTTGACGACCCTACATCTGAGTTACAACAAGTTTAAAGGATTTCCAGATTTTGCCTTTTCACCCTTGAGGTCCCTACAATTTCTTTTCCTCTCTAAAAATCCCATCACGGAACTCAGTGCTAGGGCCTTCTATGGGCTGTATTCTCTGAAGGAGCTCAACGTGGCTGGATGCTGGATAGTGCAAATCGACAGATACTCCTTTGCTCAGTTTCCAAATTTGGAGATTTTAGACCTTGGATACAACAATCTTCGAACTCTGAAATCCAAAACCTTTTATTTTCTGAAGAAACTGAAAGTTCTGATTCTCTCCCAGAACCGCCTGAATAGTATAGAGAAGAATGCCTTCTCTGGCCTTACCTACCTTACTCAACTTGACCTGGCATACAATATCTTGTCAAGCTTCACTGCAAGTATTTTCTTGGGCCTTGAAAATCTAGAAGTTTTGAATCTCAGTTTTAATAAAATCACCTACGAAACCACCAGGACCTTGAGCTCTCCCCCATTTATGAACCTCAAGTCTCTGAAACAACTCAACCTGGAAGGACAAATGCATGGGGTTCAGGTCGTTCCCACCAACCTCTTCCAAGGGCTGCACGCCTTGGAGGAGCTACTCCTAGGCAAGAATGCCATGGTATTCTTGGACCATCACCAGTTGGACTGCCTGACTAATCTCACAAAGCTGGATATCTCCGGAACAAAATCTGGAGCCCGGAGTCTCTATTTAAACATTTCCTTATTCCAAAAACTCAAAAGACTACAGATGCTGCGCCTGGAAAACAACAACATCGAGTCACTGACTCCCGGCATGTTCTCTGGCTTAGAAAGCCTTCAGGTCTTCTCTTTACGATTCAACAACCTGCAAGTCGTTAATCAGAGTCATCTGGCGAACTTGACGTCTCTGAGATACTTTGACCTCTATGGGAACAAATTGCAATGCAACTGTGACAACGTGTGGCTCAAGAACTGGTCCATAAACACAGCGGATGTCCATATCCCTTACCTCCGGAGCTACCCGTGTCAGCAGCCAGATACCCAGAGCTTGTTGGTAGACTTTGACGATGCTATGTGCAATTTTGACTTGGCGAAGGTTTGCTTCTTCAGCTCCTTCAGTCTGGTCCTCGCGACAATGGTCTTCTCTTGGTCTGGTGCCAAGATCACTTCATCTCTATGGTATGGGCTCTACATATTTCAAGCCTGGTACCTGGCCAAGTGGCATAGGACAAAGAAGGAATTCCTCTATGATGCCTTTGTCTCCTTCACTGCCACCGATGAGCAGTGGGTATATGAAGAGCTGGTTCCAGCCCTTGAAAAAGATGGCCAGCCCACCTTTAAGCTCTGTCTTCACCACCGGGACTTTGAACCTGGGATAGACATCTTTGAGAACATTCAGAACGCCATCAACACCAGCAGGAAGACGCTGTGTGTGGTCAGTAACCACTACCTGCACAGTGAATGGTGCCGCCTCGAAGTGCAGCTGGCCAGCATCAAGATGTTCTATGAGCACCAGGACGTCATCATCCTGATCTTCCTGGAAGAGATCCCAAACTATAAGTTATCCAGCTACCACCGACTCAGGAAGCTTGTCAACAGGCAGACGTTTATCACCTGGCCAGACTGTGTCCACGAGAGGCCGCTCTTCTGGGCTCGTATTAGAAATGCGCTGGGCAACAAGACCGTGGAGAAGGACAATGCGCAGCTAATTGTGGTTGAGTGACTGGAAGTCTTGGTGACCGCAAGTGCAATGTTGTCCAAGGTGTGCAGAGGCTAAGGGTGTGACTGAGTGTTCGTGTTCTGCAGGGAAAAGGATGTGAGCTGCTTATGGCCATCAGACCCGAGACCATGTGGTTAATGTCCTTTTGAAGGGGGAGACGGCATAGGAAGAACTCTGAGACTGCAATACTGTCACTGGCCAGCATTTAGCACCCTGGTTGCCAGGAAACACCCTTTACCAATTAGGTGGAATAAATAGTAAACCGAGGCAGGGAGGAGGAAGGAGACAAGTCTCACACGCTAACTCAGCAGTCCTGAGCCTGGTCTGATAATATTGCCAGGTGTTCCAACGTCACAAGAAACACTGTTAGCAAGAAAGAGGGAAAGTCCTTGCAATTCTATGTAGCATTTCCACTCTCTGGGAAAGAAAGCCTTGAAACTGTGCTTTCATCCCAAGCCCTGAATGTGGGAGAGGGTCCCCAGTGCCCGAAGAAAAAGCCCATAAAACAACTTTGGTTAATTGCCTACCTCTGGTCACTATCTGTTTTACGAGGGAGTCCCTGATGCTTGCAGAAAGAGCCCATCAATAACTTTGGGAAGTGCCCCAATTTTAACTGTCAGGTATTTGTTTTACAACAAGATGACCAAGTGGAGCAAGATAAGGATTTGGGCGGACAGACCCCCATTCATCCCTAAATTTGGGTAGTCACATTTTCCCAGGAAAGCTGGCGCCGCATTTACCCGTTAATCAACATGTGACTTTTTTCCCTCCTAGCCCACCAACTATATAAGTCCGGAGAACAAAGGTCTCTCTCTCTCTCTCTCTCTCTCTCTCTCTCTCTCTCTCTCTCTCTCTCTCTCTCTCTGGCTCTCGGGCCACAGGGCCTCTGGCCACCTGGCCTCAGGCTGCCCAGGGGCTTGCCACCCTGGTCTCCAGCCTCTCTTGCTTTTCTCACCCTGGTTTGCCCTGAAACTTTGCCTTTCACCCCCTACTCTACCCAGTCCTGTTCTCTTCCATGGGAATGGGCCACTAATAAACTGATTACATACTACTCGATTTGCTGATATGTAATTCTTTACATGCGTCAGCAAGGAGAACCAGGTCTCTCCCATCAACACTTTGGGCAGTTGGAAGAGTGAAGGGGGCTGCTTGAGGTATGGTGTCCACACTCTAGGGGATTAGTTATCTGGAAAGCGTATCCGTTTCATTAAGGAGAAGACTTGGGAGACACGTCGCCTGACACTCTGGCGATCAGGAGAACCCTCATAGGTGCTTGAGAACATTGTTCAGCTAGTTTCTCCGAAGCAATTCCTGTCAAGATAGAACAAATTGTACTTCTAAGAATCTGTACCAACAGAAAGACTGCATATGTCACAGGTGTGCACGGGTAACCAGGTTCTTAGTGATCGAGGACAAAGAATTGAACCGAACACAAAGTTTATAGCATAAAGAAAGAGGGAAGATTTATTAAGTGATAGTGCACTCCGCAGGACACGGGAGTGAGCCAGCTCTGAGCAGAGAAGGGACACGTGGGCTGGGGGGATTCTATTCTTATAGGGCAGAAGCCCCCTTGCTAGTCTTTGGCGGGCTTTTCCTGCGCAGGTACAAGGAGTTGGATTTCAAAGCTACTGCGCATGTGTGGTTTCCCATGATTTTCTTGATTGGCTACTGGAGAAGGGAGTCCCACATTGTTATTTCATCATAATGATATTATAATGAACCAGGGGTAGCGCGCAGGCGCATTCCATGATTCAGAGTTGTCCCAGAAAACAGGAACAACCCGTCTTAGGGGGTCTTTGTCATGTATAGATGTTTTCTACCTCAGCCCTGCGGGGCCTCTGGAGTTTCCTTCCTGACTATCTCCTGCCTCACATACAGACTTCAATAAAAGCAGAGAGAGAGAGAGAGAGAGAGAGAGAGAGAGAGAGAGACATCAATGTGTGGTTGCTGGGGGTCATGGGCTGCAACCCAGTCACGTACCCTGACTGGGAATCGAACCCGAGATGCCTGGTTCACAGCCCGCACTCAGTCCACTGAGCTATGCCAGCCAGGGTTAATCTGTATTTTTTTAAATTTTTTTATTTTCATTTTTGTTCAAGTACAGTTTTCTGCCTTTTACTCCCATCCCAGCCCACCCCCCACCCCAGCCCTCTATTTTGCTGATCTTGTTCATCCTTCAAGGTGTACTCAAACATTTCCCAGTCTCCTGAATTGCATAGAAATGGATGGATATTGGAAAAAAATGTAAAAAATAATGTGAGGCCATTTGTGTGGGAAATGATGTCATCAGCTGGATGCTTATGGGGTAAATATTACATTGTATCAGGACATAACTCACAACTGCCATATGGGCCATGCAAGAAAGATCACACTACTTAATTTTCTTCAAATAGAATGATATCTGATTTTGAGGCCCTGTTCGACAAGACTGGTGGAAAACTCAAGCTCAAATCGGTGTGGGCTCCTCACCCTTACACACTAACCCATCATGTTCTTGCATAAAGAAAAGAAGTGGAGAGCTTTTGTAGAAAAGAAGTGTTTAGGGAGCCCTGGCTGGCGTAGCTCAGTGGATTGAGCGCGGGCTGGGAACCAAAGTGTCCCAGGTTCCATTCCCAGTCAGGGTACATGCCTGGGTTGCAGGCCATGACCCCCAGCAACCGCACATTGATGTTTCTCTCTCTCTCTCTCTCCCCCCCCCGCTCCCTTCCCTCCCTAAAAATAAATAAATAAAATCTTTAAAAGAAAAAGGTGTTCAGGGCTTTTGTTTTAGTTTTTTAAGATATTATAGTGCCTGATTTTTAAAATATATTTTTAAAGATTTTATTTATTTATGTTTTTATAGAGGGTAAGGAAGGGAAAAACAGAGACAAACATCAATGTGTGGTTGCCTCTAGCGTGGCCCCTACTGGGGACCTGGCCGCAACCCAGGCATGTGCCCTGACTGGGAATTGAACCTGTAACCCTTTGGTTCGCAGCCCGCACTCAATCCACTGAGCTACACCAGCCAGGGTGTGTTCAGGGATTTAAAAAAAACTAAAACTGAACTTTTATTATTTTGCATTCTTCAAAAAAAAATTAAAAGGTTGGGGCAGTTTCTCCAGTCTTTGGTTCACGCTAATTACCGCTTGCATGCCCATTGTCCAAGCCAGATCTCTGGAATCTGAGGGCTCCTCTTCCCTGGAGCTATGCTTGGCGGGGCATCTTTGCTGAAACTGGACACAGCCGTTCCTTCCTGAAGTGCTATCACCTCCCTGGAGATGGAGTGTGTCTTGGATCCCACCACTCAAGGAAACAGCACACCTGGGTTCCTTTCCTGGTCTTGAAACTGGGCTTTAGCGCCGAAACATAGAAGCCAGGTAGCACTAAGTATGACAATTGATATCAGCTGACTAAGGTTTGAAGCTTGCTCCAACCGCTTAGGAACTGTAACCCTGTTACCCAACCTCTCTAAACCTGTTATTCATCCTGTAAAATCAGAATAATTATAATAGCTTTTTCTAGGCCGGTTTAAGGATTAAATGGAATAAGGTATAGGAGGGTTTAGCAGAATGCCTGGCGCATAGATGTTAGCTATGAAATTCTACTTCCTCACGATTGAAGAACCTGGGGCAGAAGGAGCAATGGGTGTCGGAGGATGGGCTTACTGAAGGGAAGCAGCTAGAAATATAAAAGCCAGCAGATTTGTCCACCTCACCATCTGCTAAAGGTCGTTCCTGAAGGGAATCCTAGGTTGTTTTTTCCCAAAGGTGACAGTGTTGACAGTGCTTAAAACTATAGAGTACTAAAAGACAGATTTTTCCTTTCCTTGCTTACCAATCCCTGACATGCTCAATCTAACATCTATCATCTAACCTCTGGATGTCCAAGGCCCAGGTGTGCAGTTTTTAGGGCCAGAAAGAAGTTTTGGGGTCAGTGGGTTGGAATGAAAGTTGATATCCGAGGGAAGAAGGAGAACGTGAAGTAACAGTAGAACAGGTTTTTATGCGTTCCCTTGCACAGCACTGCCACCTGGTGGTTATTGAATAAATCACAATATCTCCCCTCTTCCTCTGCCTCACATCTGCCCTCTCCCACCGTCCAGGCCTAATGTGTTCACTGAGAGAAAAGGGTGATGCATTGTATTCAGTTCCTGTGGCTTCTGTAACAACTTACTATAAGGATGGTGGTTTAAAACAACAGGGATTTATTCTCTCACAGTTCTGGAGGCCAGAAGTCCAAAATCAAGGTGTGGGCTGCACCATGATCCCTGCAGAAGCTCTAGAGGAGGATGTTTGGACCCTGAGTTTTCCAGCTTCTGGTGGCTGTTGACTGCCATTCCTGACCTCATGGTTGCATCACTCGAAACTCTGTCTCTTATTTTTTTTATTTTATTTTATTGCTTATGCTATTATAATAGTCCGTGCTTTTTCTCCCTTAGTCCACTTCCACTCAGCCTCTCCTCCCCTCCCTCAGGCCATTCCCGTATCGTTGCCCGTGTCCATGGGTCATGCATGCATGTTCTTTGGCTGATTCCTTCACCTTCTTTCATTCAGTCCCCCTTCCGCCCTCTCCCCTCTGACAGCTGTCAGTCTGTTTCATGCATCCATGCCTCTGCCTCTATTCTGATTACTAGTCTATTTCATTCATTAGATTCCATGTAAAAGTGAGATTATATATAGTATTTGTCTTTCTCTGACTGGCTTATTTCACTTAGCATAATAATCTCCAGGTCCTTCCATCCATGCTCTCGCAAAAGGTAAGAATCTGTCTTTTTTACTGCGGTGCAGTATTGTAACCGGAAAAGACAGCAGCATTTGGGTTGCCTGTCACTACCAAATCCAATAAGCAATGACAGCGATTGAATCTTTATGGGTGCTTTATTCAGATGGCCGGCGATCCAAGAAGATGGCGGGTTCATACCCTAACAAACCATCCTCCCTTCTCTTTCCTGGCCAGATCTTTTATAAGGGGGCGGGGGAGGACAAGCAAGGTGAGGTGAGGGCTTTGAAATTCAGGGAGGATTAGGTGAGCGAAGCTGCAGCCTTCCTGTTCTCAGCAGCTAGCTGTTCCCAAGGTGGGGCTGGGGGTGGTCACACAAAAGGCCCGGATGCCTCCAACTTGTCCCCAGGTGGTAATCTCTAGCCAGTGCCCCAGGAGGTCGGCTGCTTTTCCCAGGAGCCAGGATGGGCCTTATCTGTAGTTTCTGAAACAAAAGCTTAACATTCATATTACTTGCTAGACTCATAACTTTTTACCTTCAGCTAAAATTTTCCAAGTCTTGAGTCCCCTATCAGTATTCCGTTGTGTAGACGTACCACAGGTTTTTTATCTACTCTTTTACTGATGAAACTTGGGTGGTTTCCAGATCTTGGCTACTGTAAATAATGCTGATATGAACATAGGGCTGCATGTATTTGTTTGAATTGGTGTTTTGGGAAGTGTTGCTTAGGGAAAAATGGTGATGTTGATCTATAATGTCAAGGGTGGGTGAAGGGGATAGAGTTGGGTGGCTGGAGAGCTCTTCCATACCTTTTCATAGCGTGCAAAAGATCATGGGGTCCAGGGTAAAACACTGAGTCCCCAAAGCCATTATATGTTTCAGTAAAATGTAACAGAATAAGAGCAGAAACAGGCCGAACTTTAATAGGGAAGAATCTAAAACGCTGTGTCTAGATTTAGAAATTATTTGTATAAATGAAGGAGAGCATGTCTAAATAGCAGTTTATGCCCAGGCTGGTGT